TGTTGTTTTTTTGTTTGTTTCTTTTATACATTTAATGGTACAACTATGATTTCTCTCCCTGTCCCAGGATTCACCTGCATTACGGAGACTAATTTTTTAGTGTTGTCTGGGCCACATGCTCTGGCTTTCTCCCTGGAGCAGCATGGCACAGACCTAACAGTGTCACAGTAGGGCCTGAAATCCCAAATTCCACCATGACCGCAGTGACAGTCACCACTGCAAATCAAACGGCCAATGGTACAACTATGATTTCTCTCCCTGTCCCAGGATTCACCTGCATTACGGAGACTAATTTTTTAGTGTTGTCTGGGCCACATGCTCTGGCTTTCTCCCTGGAGCAGCATGGCACAGACCTAACAGTGTCACAGTAGGGCCTGAAATCCCAAATTCCACCATGACCGCAGTGACAGTCACCACTGCAAATCAAACGGCCTTGCCATCTAGCTGGGGTAGACGCCTTCCTGGGGTGACAATATAAAAAAAGATGAGAAGCAGAATAAAACACCCTTTTGTGGTTTTCTCTCCACAAAGTCCACATCCTTTCTGGCACTTCGCTTTTAGTTCAGGATTCCCAGCTCCACAGAAACCTCCTTTTGCAGACGAGCCCGTCACACAGCCCTTCAGCGGCCTCAGAGGGACTCTGTTTACACAGAATGGCAAGGGTTGGAAGGGACCTCGGGAGATCATCTAGTCCAACCCCCCTGCTAAAGCAGGCTCTCCTAGAGCATTCTACACAGGACTTCATCCAGGCGGGCTTTGAATATCTCCAGAGGAGGAGACTCCACAACCTCCCTGGGCAGCCTGTTCCAGTGCTCTGTCACCCTTAGAGTAAAGAAGTTTTTCCTCATATTCAACTGAAACCTCTTATGTTTCAGTTTGCACCCATTGCCCCTAGTCCTGTCACTGGATACCACTGCAAACAGACTGCTTCCATCCTCGTGCCTTCCGCCCTTAAGATATTTGTACGTGTTGATAAGGTCCCCTCTCAGTCTTCTCTTCTTCAGGCTGAACAAGCCCAACTCTCTCAGCCTTTCCTCTGCTGGCTCATGGTCAGCTTATTGTCCACCAGGACTCCCAGGTCCCTCTCAGCAGAGCTGCTATCTAGCAGGTCATCCCCCAGCCTGTCCTGGTGCATGGGGTTTGACCTCCCCAGGTGCAGCACTCGACACTTGCCCTTGTTGAACTTCATCAGGTTCCTCTCCACCCAACTCTCCAGTTTAGCCTAATCCAACCTTCCTGTCGTTAACTGATGCTGACTTTGATAAAACCACTGCACGTAAGAGGCTGGGTTGGGCTTCTTTACCTTGACTGAACAGCACGGGCCCAAAAGCCTTGTTTGCCTGCGAGGAAGATGTCGATCGTGGGGTAAACACCAAAGGGTTAATGGAAACGACTGTAACCTGGAAGACAAACCGTGAGGACATTATCAATTTGAGCAGCGAACCGCGGGAGGAAGCGCGCCCCCGGCCCCTCTCCCTCAGCCCGGGGGAGCACAAGGCGGGGGAGGAGCGCGGGCCCGGGCCCG